CTCCTCCCTCAGACCCAGGAATCCAGGCCCTCAGCCCCTCCTCCCTCAGCCCCAGGAGTTCAGACCCTCAGCCCCTCCTCCCCCAGACCCAGGAGCCCAGGCCCCCAACCCCTCCTCCCTCAGACCCAGGAGTCCAGACTCCCAGCCGCCTCCTCCCTCAGACTCAAGAGTCCAGACCCCCAGCCCTCCTCCCTCAGACCCAGGAGTCCAGACGCCCAGCCCCTCCTCCCTCAGACAAGGGGTCCAGACTCCCAGCCCCTCCTCCCTCAGACCCAGGGGGCCAGACCCCCAGCCCCTCCTCCCTCAGACCCAGGGGTCCAGGACCACCAGCCCCTCCTCCCTCAGCCCCAGGAGTCCTACCCCCAGCGCCCTCCTCCCTCAGACCCAGGGGTCCGGGCCCCCAGACCCAGGATTCCCAGCCCCCTCCTTTTCCAAGGCTCTGGGTCCCACCTTGGGGTTGGTGAGGGTGTCTCTGTTCCGAACCACGCCCCAGGGGGCCATGCCCATGGCTATCACTTTGGTGCCCCCAGTGCTGGCCGTCTGGTGGTCTCGCACAGCCACACCAACATGCCGGCCAATGCCCCTGTGCAGCCCCCCGGTGACAATCCAGGCCCCTACAGAGACACAGAGCGTGATGGTGAGGTCCAGAGACCTGGGTGTGTAGGGACAGAGAGCGAGAAGAGACGGTGAGACCAACACCCGGTCAGAGCTGGGGGGAGATCGCATCCCAGAGAAGTGGGGGAGATGGGCAGGGGCCCGGGCTCAGGGGGCGCAGCCAGCCACCCAACCTCAGTCACCTGTGTTCTGGGCAGCCCGCACCAGCCCGCGTCGCAGCAGGTCCTGCAGCCAGGTCTGGAGGATGGGGCCCCCTGACCCCCCCAACACTGACACCACCAGGTTCGGGGCCCGGAAGCCCCATGTGCGGGTGACCAGATTATAAACGGTAGCTGGATCCGTGCGGTCAGAGAGCCGGAGGAACTGTGGATACACAGGAGGAGGGGACACGGGGAAAGGGATGAAGACGGAGAAGGGGACAGAGACCCAGAGAAAAGGGGACAGACTTGGAAAAGACAGGGGTGGAGGGGGAGAGATTCGGGGAGAGGGGAAGACAGGGATGGGCAAATGGGGAGGTAGCATTCAGCTGCAGCACCCCAGACTCTGACTCGGGGAGCCCCTGGCGCATGCAGCCCCGCTCGCCAACCCCAGCCCTGCCCAGACGTGCAGGCCTCACGTTGCTGGCCTTGCGGCTGGCGCCCAGGAAATCCAGGTCCCCGTAGGCGTCAGTGGGCTTCTCCGTGGTGTGCAAGTCACTGTCCCACACGGTCACCATGGCTGCCCCAAAGGCATCCTCCACAGCCACTGACGGGTGGGAGCTCCGGGGACGCCCGCACTGGCACAGGGCTCCTCTGGGGATGAGGGGGGAGGGGAGCATGAACCCCAGGGGTTCCCCCCTCCCCCGACCCTAAGGCTCCTGTAGAAGCGCCCACACTTCTGCATGTGCCCCCCCCCCGTCCCCAGTTTGACGCATAGCCCATGCTGACCCTGGCGCTGCCCCTCACTGGAGTGGGAGGGAGCCACGGGGGTTCGAGGAAGCTGGAGCAGGGAGGGGACAGGGCCCCACCCTCACTGAGGCCCGCGTTCCAGAAGCGCCACCAGCCATCAGGGGCCGGCCCGGCTGCCCCCAGTCCAAACAGACGAGATTCCACGAAAAGGAAAATCCAGAGTGTTTCAGAGAGCACCCAGAGGCGGGGGCAGCTGTGGGACTTTGGGCTTCACCTCCCTGAGCCCCCATTTCCTCCTCAGATCAAGACAAGGGTAACACAGCCGTCTTCAGGGAAATCACAGGGTGCGTTCTGAAATGAGGGCTGCATACCAGGCTCGGGCGGAGAAACCACTCCAGCCCAAGGCCACACAGAGCTTTAAATAACCTTGCCTTTTCCAGTTCTCCTGATTACTGTCAAGGAGAGAGGCTTTGCTGGGCGCTTTCTTAAAGTTTATTTATTTAAGTAATCTCTACACCCCAACGTGGGGCTCAAACCCACAGCCCAGAGATCTAGAGCCGCCTGCTCACGCCGACTGAGCCAGCCAGGCGCCCCGCTACTCTTTTTTTTAAGAGAGAAGCAGGCCTCAGGCTCAGAACATTGGGCTGCCAACAATGTCCAGTTAGAAGGGAAATGCCTTCATTTGCTTCTCATTGTGATGGTCTTTTATGGCTTGTTTCTTTCTCTAGGAAGTTTTTTCATTTATGGTAATCATAGACAAAACTTTTTTTCCCCTTAAATGTACAAGTAGCCCTTGCATCCCTTAAATAAATGGACAAGTGATGGGCCTCTGAGTTTTAAAGAGCAAGCAACATGGGTTTGGGGAATGAAGAATTTACTTGAAAATGTATCTACGTCTCTTTAGTCTCTGATTCCAGAAGGGATTTCAGATACTGGAGGAGACCTGAATTTACGTAAGCCGAGTGAGCCTTAACTTAAGGACCAGTTTCACAGAATAATACCACCGGTGGTACATGGATTTGTTAAAAGTTGTAAAGACACTGAAAGAATGGCCATCAATCCACACCCAGGATGAACAGAATACACTCAGCCCCTCTCCTGGCCCAGTGACTACAGTGAGGGGCACATCCTTCCTCATTTCTGAGTCCACCTCCAGGGAGCTGGCATGTCTCAGTTTACCCTCTTGATCCTTTCACCTATCTCAACCCCATCCCTGGACCCCCTCATTACCTTCCATCTACTTTCCACTAGTCCTTGTAGATAAAACTTCCTCATGGAATGTTCCAGAACCTAAGGTGTCTAATCTAATCGACCTTAGCCACATGTGGCTCTTTACATTTAAATAAATTAAAACTAAATACAATTACAAAATTCAGTTCCTAGGTTGCTCTGGTCACATTTCAAGTGCTCGAGAGCCACATGTAGCCAGTGGCCGCCATATTGAATATGGATATAGAACATTTCTCCCGTTGCAGAAAGTTCTGGTGGACAGAACTATCCATATTGAATATGGATATAGAACATTTCTCCCGTTGCAGAAAGTTCTGGTGGACAGAACTATCCATATTGAATATGGATATAGAACATTTCTCCCGTTGCAGAAAGTTCTGGTGGACAGAACTGGCCACTCTGCACTTCTTACCTCCTACTTTCCTTCCTCTGTGTGGCCGCTGAAGCTGAAATTGTTCCCGATAATATCAGCAATGACCAGCATATCCCCGAACACAATGGCCTCTATTCAGGTCTCGTGTGACTATCACAAAATGGCACTGGTCACAGCACAAAGACTGATGCTAAAAAATTTTTTCCTTCCCTTGGCAGGGCACACCGCTCCCCTGGCTGCCTTGTCCCTGCCACACTGGTGGCTTTTCTTTTTCTCTGTGCCTCCCTCCAGTGAAGGTGTTCCCAGAGCCCCAGACCACGTGGTTTCCCTGCATGGGTCTCAAACTTGATGCCCCAGGGGCCAAGCAAATAATTTAAGGGAAAGAAGCATCAGGTGGAGGAGCGCCTGGGTGACTCAGTCGGTTAAGCATCTGCCTTCCCTTTGGCTCAGGGCATGATCTCAGAGTCCTGGGATTGAGCCCCGCTCCCCGCCCAGCTTCTCCCTCCGCCCCCCACCCCCAGCCCGCTGGTGTTCTCTCTCAAATACATAAATAAAATCTTTAAAAGAAAAAAAAGAAGCATCAGGTGGAAATCTGCGGATGTGCTGGAGACTGTGGTGACTTGTGAGGTGGCATGTTTGTTTTGAGGCATTCAGAGACAGGTTTTTTTTTTGTTTTTTTTTTTTTAAAGATTTTATGTATTTATTTGAGAGAGAGAGAACGAGAGACAGAGAGCAGGAGAGGGAGGAGGGTCAGAGGGAGGAGAAGCAGACTCCCTGCCGAGCACGGAGCCCGATGCGGGACTCGATCCCGGGACTCCAGGATCATGACCTGAGCCCAAGGCAGACGCTTAACCATCTGAGCCACCCAGGCGCCCCCAGAGACAGGTTTTTAAAAATACTCTTCCGGGGACGCCTGGGTGGCTCAGTCAGTTGAGCGTCTGCCTTTGGCTCGGGTCGTGATCCCAGGATCCTGGGATCGATCCCCGCATTGGGCTCCCTGCTCCGCAGGAAGCCTGCTTCTCCCTCTCCCTCTGCCCCTGCCCCTGCTTGTGCTCTCTCTCTCTCAAATAAATAAAATCTTTAAAAATAAAAAACAATGAAAAATAAAAATACTCTTCCATGCAAAAAAAAAAGGCCATAGAGTTGCCAGGGCACCTTCCCCGACTTTACACATTCTCCCCCCTGACATTTCACCTCCTTCCACAGTTTCAGTTACCATCTACAACTAAGACTTCTCGAATGCGGGACAGAAGTCCCGGACCCAGGTCTGCAGCATCCCCTAGTCCCCTCCAAGTCCCCTAATACCTGAAGGCCCACGCTAAGCTTGGCAACATTCCCCAGACCTGCTCATCCTCCTGGATTCCCTGTCTCGGGGACAACCCCACTGTCTCTCAGGTCCCAGACCAGATGTCCAGGAGCCATCCTCCCCCCTCCTACTCCCCTCTTACTCCTCAAATCCAGCAGTCCCCAAGCTCCTGTCCCTGTCCCCACCCTGTGTCCCCACAGGGGTGGCCTGGCTCAGGCCTCTTCTCGTCCCACTCAGACCCCAGCCCAGCCTCTTCCGAGGCTTCTCGAACTCCGATTCATCCTCACACAACCCCCAAAGGCTCTTTCCACACCCAGAGCTGATCCTGCCCCTCCCACTGCTGCCCAGCACCCCAGGGCCAAGATCCTGGCCCACCCTCCTCCATGGAGGCCTCCTGCACCTTGAACTTTGCACATGTTCTTCCCACACCTTTGAATCCACGCTCTTCTCTCCCGGCTGCCTTCAACTGTCAAACTCCAGCTCATCCTTCAAATGCCACCTCACTGGCCCCTCCTCCTCCAAAAGGCACCAGTGACACCCTGTGTCCCCTCCCCAGCCATAGCCAGAGCCTCCTCGGGGCTCGGGCGGGGCCCCAGCTGCCCGTCTTTCAGAGCTCCCATCTCTCTGCCTTAGTCCTCTTCCCGCCAGACCAGAGGTCCCTCAACTGCCTTGGCCACACTCCCCATCAGTAAAAAGGTTTAGAGCACTCACCCCCAATAACGTCCATCTGTTTATATTTAGACATCATTGCAAGACGTACTGCACTAGGATATGCACGGCACACACTAAGTTAGGAATGATGACATTTCCCATGCCCCAAAGATTGTCTTGAAAACAACCTCAAAGCCAGAATCCACTGGAGAGACCGTCCCTGAAGGCCGGGAGCTCCTCAAGGTAGGCAAACACCCCACGGGACTCATGCAGGTGTCCCTGGCCACCGAGCCTGAGCACGGGGCCTCCACACAGGATCACTGCTTCCTTCCAGTGATCACTGCAGGCATTTTCCAGCGCCAGCCACGTGCTGGGCCCCATTCCAGAAATTCACAAGCAGGTACTTGTTTAAATCCTCCCAATAAATGCCCACTCAGGAGGTAGGGCCCGTCTTTATGTCCAGGGGACAGATAAGGCCCAGAGAGGTGAAATGATTTACCCAAAGCCACACAGCACCAGTCCCAGGTGACATCTGAACCCTGGCAGCGCCTGTGCTCCTGATAATTATGCTCCCTTGGGAGCAGTGAATGAGGGCTTCTTGGATGTATGAATGAAGGAAGGAAGGAAGGAATGAATGAATGAATGAATGAATAAAACAAACAGCCAAAACAGAAAAAGAAAGTGACGCAAAAGACGCAGAGAAGAGACACAGGGAAGGAAAGAAACAGAACGAAGCCCGGGGCTTTAACACTGACCCTGACCGAAGGGAAATTGGAAGAGTCTGCACGGACCCAAACCGTCCCAAGGGAGAGCGCCACCAGGGCACGCCCTTGGAAGTGTCCGCAGTGACGGGGGTGGCGGGGGACGGAGGTGGGCGGGGTCAGCGGGCCGGGGACGCTCTGGGGACGCTCCGGGGTGGACCCCAGGGGCGAACTCCTCACCCCGCATCTGTGGGGTCAACGATGAATGTCGTGCACGTCTTCTTCTTGAAGATCTTGGGGATCCAGCTCTGAGGACGGAAACAAGGGGTGGGAGGGCTCCAGCTCAGTCCTATCGGACACGGAGGCACCCACCCCGCACCCTTCCCCGGACCCAGGAGTCCGGGACCCCAGCGCCTTCCTCCCCCAGCCTCAGGACTCCCCTAGCCCCCGCTCCTATCTGTCCCCAAGGACCCAGGAGTCCGGAGACCCCCAATCTCCGGGAGCCCCCACTCCGACCCCTTCCTTCATCTGAACCAAGAATCTGGGTCTCCAGCACCCTCCTCTCTGGGAACCAGAGGCCAAGCCCGGGAGTCCGGCCGCTGTACCTGCTCCTTCTCCGGACCCACCATGCTGCAGCAGCCTCCGCAACCTACCCGGCCACCTACATTCCCTCCACCAACCCCGCTTCCAGACCCGCCCAGGACAAACCGGATCCGCCACTTCCCAGCCGGGGCGGGGCAAGGTCTGGGGTGGGGAGTCTTGCGGATGCGTAGAGCGAGAGGCGGGGCAAAGGGCCAGACGGGACGGCCAGACGGAGACCCAGAGGGGGACAGAGATCCAGAGAAGGGGGAGACAGAGATCCAGAGAAGGGGGGGACAGAAACCAAGAAAAGCGGTGTCAGAGACCAGAAAGAGACAGAAATCCAGAGAGAGGGGACAGAGATCCAGAGAAGGATGGACAAGAGACTGAGAGAGGAACAAGGAACCGGAGAGAGGGGGACAGGACCCAGAAACGGGAAGTCAGAGACCAGAGAGAGAAAGAAACAGAGATCCAGAGAGAGGGGGACAGAAACCCAAGATGGAATCCCAGAGATAGGGAGAGGTACATTAATCCATTGGGGGGGGGAGGGTTGGCACAAAAACTTAAGTAGGGGGCAGAGAATCAGAAAGGGGGTGAAGAGATTCAGGGGGTACACTGACTCAGAGAGAGAGAGAGAAAGAGAGAAAGAATTGGGTGGAGAGCAGATGCTCAGAGTGACAGGAAGATAGTAGAATCCTGTGGTTGGGGAACAGTGGGTGACAGAAATGAGAGAGGGACACCCATAAAGAGGGCTGGGGACCCAAAGGGCCAGGGCGATAGTGACAGGGTGAGGAGTGGGAGACAGTGACCCACAGACAGGCAGGGCCATGTGTCTCCTGCAGCTCTGACAGGGACAGCTGCGGCCTAGCTGGGTAACCTGAGCCCCCACCCCCCTCGCTGTATTTATAGCCCTGGCCTGGCCTGGTCTTCTGCCCTTGGCTCCGAGTTCCAGGGACAGGAGGTCATAGGTGTGTGTGCTGGAGCGAGTTCCTTCCACCCCTGTCCAGGGCCTCCATACTGTCATCCACTCTCTCAGCAAAGGCTCCCCTTCTGGGGAGAAACTCCCCAGAATCCAGTCCCCAATCCTTCCATGGCAGGGGTCTCTCCTCCCGGATGGGTCCCTCCGGCCCCCACAATTGCCTTAGGTTCCCCCCAACTTGGCCCACTAAAAGTCTAGCCATTATCTTTGCAGCTGCCAAACATGAACTTGTTGGCAGTACCAAGTCCAGTCCTTGGCCCCCACTCCTGGCCAAGTTGAGATCCCTTCACCTACCCCTTCCCCAGCTGGGAGGAGGAGGAACAGGAGGGGAGGGGCAGGCGGGGACTGACCCAGAATAACTCAGGGCTGAAAGTAAATTTAGCCGCAGAGAGGGGAGGAGAGAGACCCTATTGGCTGGGAGGTGGGGAGGGAGGGCCAGAGGGGGGGTGAGGGGGCTCCTGAGACTGCCTCTGAGGGGTGTCCAGCAGTGAGGGCTGGAGAAAGGCAGCCAGGCAGAGGCAGCGGGGAGCACAGCAAGGGAACGACACAGGCAGAAAGAACCAGAAGGACCCAAAAAGGGGCAAGGACCCCAACACTCATCCGGCTGGAGCCGGCCCTGGGAGAAGCTCTGCTGCCTGTCTGTCCCCATGGGCCACCGTGGGCCATGGCTGCACACTTCTCTCCTCTGGGCTGCCATGGTCAGCCTGCTCCTCCCCCCCGCCATGACCCAGCAGCTGAGAGGGGCCGGGCCGGGCCCCAGCAACTGGAACAACAATGCAGGAGTCGTGGGGCCCTCAGAGGATGTGCCAGGCGAGTTTGGCCACCCCAGGCACAGCCACCGAGGCCACGGAGATGAGAATGAGGATGTCTCCAGGGAATACAGTCACGGGCTCCGAGACCACAGGTACCAAGACCACGAGGTCAGAGAAGAGAATATCCCTGATGGAGAGGTCTTCACAGAGCATGCTTGGCAGGCCCGTGGGCCCAGAGGCCATGGGAACGAAGATGTGGATGATTCAGACGAGCACGGGCACCACTTCCCCAGCCACAGAAGCCACAGCCATCAGGATGAGGATGAGGATGAGGATGAAGTTGAGTCCAGCAAGTATCGCCATCATAGCATCAGGCATGTGCATGGAGGCCACGGAGAAGAGGACGATGAAGAAGAAGAGGAAGGGGTGGTCTCCACAGAGTATGGACACCAGGCCCACAGGCACCAAGGCCACAGGAGGGAAGAGGATGAAGATGACTCAGATGAATATCCTCATCATGTCCCCAGCCACGGACACCAAAGCCATGGAGAAGAAGGTGATGATGATGATGATGATGATGATGATGTTGTCTCCACTGAGTATGGACACCACGCCCACAGGCACCAAGGCCACGGGAGGGAAGAGGATGAAGATGCCTCAGATGAATATCCCCATCATGTCCCCAGTCACGGACACCAAGGCCACAGAGAAGAAGAAGAAGGTGATGATGATGATGCTGATGTTGTCTCCACTGAGTATGGACACCATGCCCACAGGCACCAAGGCCACGTGAAAGAAGAGGATGAGGACGTCTCAGATGAACACCATCATCATATCCCCAGTCCTGAACACCGAGGCCACAGAGAAGATGAGGAAGAGGATATGTCCACTGAGTATGGACACCAGGTCCACAGGCACCAAGGCCATGGGAGGGAAGAGGATGAAGATGTATCAGATGAACACCATCATCATATCCCCAGTCACGGACACCTAGGCTATGGAGACGAAGAAGATGAGGATGAGGATGTGTCCACTGAACACTGGCACCAGATTCCCAGGCATACTTATAGCCTTGGAGATGAAGATGAAGAGGAAGAGGAGATCACAGTCAAGTTCAGCCACCATGTTGCAAGCTCCCAACACCCAGGCCCCAAGAGCACTGAGGAGGAGGACTTTCCAGATGAATATAAGTCAGCAGTCCCTGACCATCACCACCATGGAGGCCCCAAGGATGAAGATGAGGACATCTCTGACAAGCTTGGCCACCAGGCTCCCAGCCACAGGCAACAAGGCCACCAAGATGAAGGGACTGGCCACAGAGGGTCCCTGGAAGATGAGATTAGCCACCAGCTGCCAGAACACATGGGGGTCAAGGACAGAAGCCATTTGAGGGAGAGAGATTCTGAGGAGGAAGAGGAGGAGGAGGACCAGAGCTCCCATGAGGAAGATGATGAAAGTTCAGAACGGGGAGAAGAAGGCACCCGCCATGGCAGCCTGGACCAGAAGGATGAAGAAGATGACGAGGAAGGTCACGGCCTCAGCGTGAGCCACGAGGAGGAGGAGGGAGAAGAGGATGAAGAGAAGAGGGAAGGGAGGGCTGAGGTTCACGCCCCACTGAGCCAAGACCACCAGGAGGGGGAAGAGGAGGAGGAAGAGGGGCTGGAGGAAGAGGAGCTCCCCTTCACCATCATCCCTAACCCACTGGCCAGGAGGGAGGTGGCTGGAGGTGGCTCCAGTGAGGAGCAGAGTGGCGAGGACATGGGTAAGTGATCTGGCCAGGTAGGGGCAGGGAGGAGTGGAGTCAGCCTGCTTCACTGCTGCTCTCCTGTCCCCACAGATCCGCAGGGTGCCCAGGAGTACGGGAACTACCAGCCTGGGTCCCTGTGTGGCTACTGCTCTTTCTGCAATGTGAGTGACAGCCCAGGTCCATCCTCCAGGCTGTCCCTGGAATTTGTCCTGGGGCTCTAAGGTGCCTGGGGACAGCTCTGAGCAAAGGAGGGGCAGGGGCAGTGCCAGGTGAAGAGGCACTTCTGGGGCCATGTAGGGGGCAGACTGGAGGCCAGGAAGCTGGGGAGGAGGCTGGGGCAATGGTCCAGGAGGGAGTGAGGCCTGAGCTATACCTGCAGATATGGGGATGGAGGGGAGGGTCCGGCAGAGGGGGCAGGTGGAATGGGGCTGGGGCCTGGCAGGCTGTGGGGAAAATAGGGAGAAGGCATGAAGAGAACACCCACAGGCCCAGCCCACAGTGACAGGGGGATGTGGTGTCACCTTGCAAGAGGGGAACGAGGGGGAAGCTGCTGAGCTCAGTGTGGGAGGTAGTGAGCGTCGGGAGTTGGGGAAATGTCCAGGGGGCAGGGTGGAGGGCTGGCGGGTGGCTCCCAAACGGTGTCCCCAAGCCAGAATCCTCCCCTTCCCAGAGATGCACTGAATGTGAGAACTGTCACTGCGACGAGGAGAACATGGGGGAGCACTGCGACCAGTGCCAGGTGACACTTTCCCCGGACCCAGGTTCCACCAGGCCCCAGGATGGCCGGGGGCCCTCTGGGCACCCACAGTCCCAAATCCTGGCCTCTGCCCTCAGACTGACCCAACCCTCCCTCCCTGGTGCAGCCTTGACTCCACACTCGGTCCCGCCTCTGACCTTAACCTACCACTCGGGCCCCCGTCCGGCACCCGCCCCCATCCCGGCTCCGCCCCGACCGTGTCTTATAGTTCTCTCCCCATCCCCGCCCCCAGCACTGCCAGTTCTGCTACCTCTGCCCGCTGGTCTGCGAAACTGTCTGCACTCCAGGTGAGCGTGGGCGGAGCCCAGCCAGGCAAACTCCGTGGAGGCGGAGCCAAATCCGACAGGCGGGCCTGGCAGGTTGTGGGGCGTGGCTAGGCGCGGAGGCGTGGTCAGGGCTGGGAGTCTGCGGGTGGGGCGGGGTACGCGCGGAGAGGCGGGGCCTGGACCGAGGGAGGGGTGGGGCTAGATGCTGAAGCCTACTTAGTAGGCAAGGGGTGGAAGGTTGAAGGGTGGGTCTAGAAACGAACGGGCGGGGCCAAAGCAGGTAGAACTGGAAGAAAAGGGGCTTCTGGAGAATGGGAACACCAGGAGCAAGGAGAGAGGCGCTGGACCTTGAAAGGAGTCCCAGTAGAAGGAATTCAACTTAGGGAAGGAATTAAGAAAAAGGGGGGCGGAGCTAGTTCTGATTCCGGATTCGGTGAATCAGTGGCCCCCTAATTTCGCCTGTGGTGTACCGCTCAAGCCTCTTATCTTTTCTCCCACAGGAAGCTACGTCGACTATTTCTCCTCCTCCCTGTACCAGTAAGTGTGTGGAGGGGGGCAGTTTAAGGGCCCTTAGAGAGGCGAGGTCCCGCTGAGTGATTGGACGACCCTGGAACTCCATTCCCCTGTCGGTAAAATGGGCAGGTTAACATCTCCATCTAAGCGCCTGGGGTGAGCTTTGGGCACTTGGGCTGTCTAACCTCTGCGTCCTCTCCAGAGCCCTGGCGGACATGCTGGAAACTCCAGAACCCTGACCCAGCGGTGCGGCTGCGGCGCAGACGCACCTCCCTGGCCCTCCAACCCATTTCCACGAGCCGTATTTATTGAATTGCGTTATGAATAAACATGCTCCCCGAAACCTCATTGTCAGGCGTGGGGGCTGGATTCTCGGGGCACCAGGGAAGGCGCGGGTGGGGACTGCAGACTTGGACTCGGGTCTGAGGGAGGAGTGGTCTGGCCTCCCGGGTTCTTGAGGAGGTCGGTTTTCCTAAGGTCCTGACAAATAAATCAGTCAAGACGGGAGCTTTTTGAAACAGTTCTCTTTACCCGTGATCACTGAGTGACACCTGGGGCAGGGAGGCCGACCAAGAGTCTCGGGCGAGGGCTCCCCCACCGTCCTCCCTCCCCCCACGCCACGTCGCCCAGTGGCATCGTGGAAAGAGGATTCTCCCATGCAAACCCCGGAGCCGGAGGGGAACCGGGAGCGCAGTCCTGCACCCCCTACCCCCGGGGCACGGACACGGCCACAGCACGGGGGGCGGAGAGGCCCCGGGGACACGAGACACTGGGGAGGAAGGGGGGACTCCGCCCGCAGCTGACCCCAGGCACCGGCGACCTGACGCGGCGGGGCGGGGATGAGTGGCACATGGGGCGAGGCTTGTAGCAGCGAGTCCCCCCTCCCCTCCTTTCGGACGAAGAAGGAAGACTTGGGCCCCGCGACTGGGGAGGAGAAAGGGGAGCGGGCAGCCTCTCCTAGCATGCGGCCCGGGAGGGAAGCCCGGCTCCCTTCCCGCGGGGAAAGGGCACCCATCTCCCATCGGAAACTGATCAATAAATTACAAAGTAGAGAAAAGGGAGGCGGAAGTTTGGGGCGGGATTTCTTCCTGCCCTCTTCGTTCCCCCTCTCAGTCCAGTTCGTGTGGTTTGGTCCAGGCCCAGTCCTTTTGTGAGGCGGGGACGCGCACTCCCCGCTCGTCTGTACAGATGGTCCGGTCCGCGGCGCGAGCTCCCCCGCCCGCTCTCCCCGGCGAGACCATACTCTGGGCAGGAGGGGGAACAGCCCAGCCTCTGGAAGATTCTTCCATCCGAGTGAGGTCACCTGCATTGACGCCGGGGCAGTACGTGGAGCAGTGAAAATCCATTGTGCCGCCCCGAACCCCCAAGGTCGCCCAGCACAGTCCTCACCTGGAGGCCTACACTAGCAGGAGTAGGTCCGGACCGAAACGCCGTCTGCCCGGGAGCTCCCAGACGTCTGGCCTACAGGGAGAGCGAGCAGTGGTTTGGTCTGGTGCGTCACACACACACACACACACACACACACACACACACACCCCACCCCACCCCCACTCCCCCCTGGGTTTCTCTGATCGTTAACCCCAAGCGCCCTCTCTTGGATTTCCCCTCCCGAAATCACAACGCTTGGCTCCATGCCGGGTTCCTTCCCCTCCCCTTCCCGCAGCCTTGGATTCATCTAAGGTGCCACAGGTGACAGTGGGCCAACTCATTTCCCACTTCGGAAAAGGGGTGCGGGATTAATCCATTCCACACCCGGAGGAGGGAGTTGGCATACTGAGCAATCCATTCGTCATGGGTCGGGGAGAAAGGACTAGGCCATTTCAGAACTTGGAGGGAGGCTTCTGGAATGTAGAGTTGGTCCCTTTCCCACACGGAGCAAGGGGAAGGGGGGAGGGGCCGTCGCATCGGGGTGCCGCCCACCTTCGGGCTGCAGCTTGCGGAGAGGGAGCCCCGGAGATCCCAGGGCCCCCGCTGCGGCCGAACGAAAGTTGGGGGGCAACATCTCAGCTGAGTCGGGGGTTACGCCTCGTAGGTCCTTCTCTCGAAACATCTTCCGCCAGGATGGGGAGCGGCTGAAGGACTTGGCGCTGTCCTAGATATAGGGGCCGGGCTGACGATGAGCGACCAGGGCCGGGTTCTGACTCAGCCCCTTCCTTTGACTCCACCCCTCTCGGGTTTCCGCCTTTAACCCCGCCCCTGCCCTAGTCCCGCCTCCAGCCGCCTCCCGCCGGCAAAGGCAAGCCCCACTCCTTCAGCTCAGACACTGCAGGTGCCGCTAGGAGCTGAGCCTCCAGGGCTGGGGCTGCGCCCACCTCGTCCAGCCGCCTGTCTGTGCCCAGGGAGATGAGGTTGCTGAATTCCTTCTCCAGGAGCTGCCGGGCCTGGGGACGAGAGGTGGAAGAAGGGTGGCAGCGTGCAGTCTGCGAGGTGGGGGTGCCCAGTGTGCCCCGGGCCGAGCCGCAGCTCACCTGCGCATTCTGCGTGGGGATCTGCAGGAGCAAGGCCAGGTCGGAGTAGTCGAAGGTCTCGTCCAGGGCCAGCAGCGCCCCGTGCACCCCGCTCTCCGTGAGGTTCGTAGCGAATTCCTTCAGTCCCAGCCCGGACACCCAACCCATGACCCGCTCATTGGACCACACCATCACATCTGGGACAGAAGGGACTCTCAGCTGCCGGTCGGTCCAATTTAGCCCACCTGTCACGGCCATTTCCTTTCCTGGCCACGCCCCCTGTGCTGGCTCCACCCCCTCGCAAAAGGCCCGGGGCTCCCCCTCCCCCCCTTAATCATACCTCCTCCCCACCAACCCCAAACTCCGCCACCTGGCTTGGGGGGTTGGGAGGGGGGACTCTTCTACGCCTACTCACCTCGGATCTGGGTCTGACTCTCTTCCCGCCTCCGCTCCAAGTCCTTCCGGTCATAATTGAGCCGTTTCAAGCACATGATCCCATAATGCAGACTCACCCTGAACAGTGGGGAAAGTGGGGTCACGGAGGAGCCTTCACAACCCCCATGGCTGCTGCTTCGCCCCTCCCCACTGGCTGTGGTCCTTCTGGGAAAGGTTGGGGAGTTGTCCCACTGGGTCGGTTTTCGGTATTGCTGACCTTCCCAGGATTTGGGGTATTTTCAACAGGCAGTTCCTATTGGGTAACCTGGACAGGGTATGGGGTTAACAAGCCAAGCCGTCTGAGGATTTGGACTTTGCCTAGCGGGCCATCTCATTGGTGGAAGGGGCACAGAAGTCAGGATTTCCTGAGAATCCGGGCTAAAGGGCCAAAGATAGTCCCAGGACGTTCCCATCACCAGTCCCATTGGCCAAAGACTCTCTGGGAGTGAGGCTTCCCCTTGGACTGTCCCCACTGGCCAGGCAGCCCCCACCTGTGGAAGCTGTCCACCATCTTGAGTTGGCCCCGGAGCTCCTTCTTGTTAAGATGATCTAACATGCGGGCGTCCACCAGCGACTCCATGAAGTAGCTGCGGTATTGGGGCAGCCCCAGGCTGGGTAGCCAGTCGTTCCCCACCCACTCGTGGTTCATGTCACCATATGCCAGGATCTGGGGCCATGGGCAGGTGGGGGAAGGGTCAGGCCCTCTGACCCCTTCCCATGTATGTATGAGAGGGTTCACTCCTACCCCCTGACCCAAGGTGGTTCTTTTTCCACCCCACCTTAGGACATGGGTCAATCTCTGCTCAGGACAACGGACCAATCCAGGGGTCTCCTACTCCTTCATAATCACAGAATAGACCCTTGTCTACTCAAAGTGCGGTCCTTGGACCTGCGGCATCACCATACCTGTGCACCTGCCAGAACTGTAGGATCTAGGACCCCACCCCAGGCTACGGAATCAGAAGCTGCATTCCCACCAGATCCTTCGGTTACCGGAACAGTAAGGGGTGAGAGGCACTTGTCTAGCATTGTCCCAGCTCAGAACAGTGGGTCAGTCCAACATCGCTTCTCCCCCAAGTCAGGACAACGGATTCTTCCAGTGTAGTTCTCCCCACAACAAACGATAATAGATCCATCCATCACTCTTGCACGGTCCAAAAATACTAGTCTAATGCTACATCTGGCCCAGGACAGTATTCTGGATCAGCCCAAAGTCCTTCACTCCCTTTAGCGTAAGGAAACAATCAACACCGGCCCCCGACTGGAAACCAAGACCCTAGTCCAACCTAGTTCATCTATGAGAACAAAGTGTAGCTTCTCCTCCTCCTCGACTTCTCAGCGGGACCTGCGGCCCCTCCCCAGTATGCTTCCCCCTTGGCCCCAGTACACTGGAACAGTCCCACTCCCCCTCAATCATAGAGAAAAGGTCTCCCTCTAGTTACAGCAGTGGAACAGCCCCCGCAACCCCACGGTAATGGAATGGCCCGAGCCCCACACTAACAATGGACTAGTCCAGGCTTTCCCCCCCAACCCCCTGAACCCCACCAAGCCACAATGAGACGGGTCCAGAGCACGGCTCCACGCAGCGACCCCCGCGGTGATGATGGAACGCTCCCGCGGGGGGTGGGGGGCGGGGCTTGGGGCAGGAGGGGCGTGCATGCAGCGTGCACAACCTGTTCATGCGCCCATGTCCCGCCCCGCGCCCCCTACCTGCTCCCAGCTGATCTCCTTGGTCTCCTGACCCGTTAGTGGGAAAAGGGGAGAGAAGGGGTGGGTTAAGGGGCAGGTGGAGGAGGGCGGGAGGGACGAACGGACGGACGAACAGCCAGAGAGTCGCCCCCCAACCCCTCCCCAGGGAGAGTTAGTGCCACTCCCACAGCCGCCGGCAGGGGTCACTCACAGGCTTGGTCGTGGCCGTAAGGGACTCCATCTCTTCGTGCGTCATCCACACGTTTCCTGTGGACTGAGGGGCGAGGGGTGTTATGGGGGTTGAGAGAAGGCTTCTGGATGGGGGAGGGGTGTTCCTAGAGGCCCAGGCCAGGTCCATTTATATACATTCTGCTTTCTGACTCAGGCCAGTTACTGCTCTGGGCCAGGCAGTGAAAGAAAAACCGAATGATCATTTATTGAGCACCTGCTGTATAACGGGCAAAAGAACATGGACTTTGAGGTCGGGCAAAAGAACATGGACTTTGAGGTCGGGCAAGTTCAGGTTTGAATTGGGGCCCTACCCGGGTATTTTGCTGTGTGGCCTTGGGCACAACATCACCTCTCTGACCTCACACAGATGTATGTACAGAGTGACGTTCAGAACGAGGTGGCAGATACAGCAGTGGGGTGGGACAAAAGTTTGGGTGGGGGGTAAGGGATGTGTGTTCACATTTACTGAGCACCTGCCCCCAACAACCCCACGAGTTAGGACTTCATACATTGATTCAGACACTTATGTAGCTCCTCATGAGTGCC